AGGGTCATCCCTCGCGTTGGTCTGTGTATGTCAGCAACAGGGTATCACAAATTCAGGAAATTTCTTTAGACGCCCAGTGGCGTCACATTAAATCGGGACAGAACCCTGCTGATTTGATTTCCAGAGGTACGTTTAGAGACGACGTTTTGGAATTTTGGTTTACAGGGCCCGAATTTTTAAAAAATAATTTAACAAATTTAAATGATTTTGACACTTTTCAAATGGTCATTTCACCCCCTGAAGGGAAAACAGTTTCTTTACTCTCTAATATCATCAAATCTAAAAAAGACGACACAGCAGATTATTGGATTCAAATTTTTACACGATTTTCTAGCTTCACCAAACTTCAACGCACAATGGCGTACATATTTCGATTTAAAAATAACACATTAAATAAAAACCTTAAAATAGGGAGTCCATTACAAATAATCTAATTAGATATTGCATTACATTTTATTCTTAAAACAATTCAACAAAAATATTTTTCAAAGAAAATAACTTCAATTCAATCCAACCTGCCAACAACAGATAAACAAATGTTAGCGTTAAAGCCAGTCTTACATTCTGACGGTCTACTTCGAGTGGGGGGTCGATTGTCTAATGCACAAATTCCATTTGAACAAAAATATCCCATACTTTTGCCTTCAAAATGTCACGTAGTGAAACTTCTGCTCACGTTAGAACACATTCGTCTAGGACACAGTGGTCCACAAAACATTTTATCAAATATTAGATTACGATACTGGCCTTTAAATGCACTTCGCGAAATTAAACAAATCAATTTAAAATGCACAATTTGTCACAGATTCAAGGCCCAAGCGGCGCAACAAATCATGGCTGACCTACCCTACGATAGGGTGGTCATGTCCAGGCCATTTCAAAAAGTCAGTGTAGACTTTGGCGGTCCCTTTTTAATGAAAACTTCAACTTTAAGAAAAGTTCCAAGTTCAAAATGCTACATAGCCATTTTTGTCTGCATGGTTACGCAAGCAATTCATACAGAACCCGTATCAAGTCTGTCCACAGAGGCATTTTTAGCCACTTTCAAACGTTTTATTTCTAGAAGAGGAAACCCCTCTATCATCTATAGTGATAATGCGACCAATTTTCTAGGTGCAAAAAATCAATTAAAAGAACTACATGACTTTTTCAAAAAATCTTCTAATTCCCATTCAATCTTCAACTACTTGTCAACCAAATAAATTCAGTGGAAATTCATTCCGCCCATGGCACCCCATTGGGGAGGGATTTGGGAAGCAGCAATAAAAAGTACCAAATATCATTTAATTAGAATAATAGGCAACTCATCATACACTTTTGAACAATTCACCACTATTTTAAGCCAAATTGAAGCAATTCTAAACTCAAGGCCACTTTATTCAATGTCAAACGACCCGTCAGATGATCAGCCACTTACGCCAGGGCATTTTTTGATAGGTACCTTACTTTTAGCTTTTCTAGAAAAAGATATTTCCGCTCTTAAGACAAACAGACTTTCGTTTTGGCAAAAGTGTACCCAAGTACAACAAATATTTTGGAAAAAATGGTCAAAAGATTATTTAAACAGGTTACAAAATAGACCAAAATGGTTAACTCCTCACGACAACCTTAAAGTTGGTGATATCGTGTTGCTGAAGAACACTGATATTCCGCCTCTTATATGGCCGCTGGCAAGAGTTTTAGAAACATTCCCAGGTACGGACGGGAAAGTCCGATCCATCAAAATTTTAACAGAGGGCAACGTTTTCGTAAGACCCATCTCTAAGATAGTTAATTTCATTACAGACGATCTATATTCAGATGATCAGACGTCTCAGAGGTCCTTCTCGCAGTAGAGGATTACTCATTCACTGTCTTTTTACCTTTCCTTTTTTAATATAAGCATATAACCGCATGTAGAGTCACTATCCTTTTCTTCTTCTGTAATGTCCGTACTCACCACGGCGTTCTGCTGACCGCAGATGCCACCAGAACCAACACCAACAGTACTTGGTCTTGATACCTACCTCTGAAGTTCAGGGCACGTCGTTTTTACACTGTACTTAAAAAATATTTCTCTCAAAAACGCGTTTTGATTTTATAACAGTACGGACTAAGTACGCTTAATTTTAGTAGTCGAACCCGGGGGCTACTGGGGATATATATATATTTTTTAAGGAGTCTCGGATGTTTAGCATCCTCGAGTTCCAGGGATTTTAAACTTTAAGTCTAACAAGTAGTTGGCTGTAAGAAGATGCTGATGGCATAGAATCACGTATAGATGATTCAGCTGTGCACAGTGCACATATTATTTTACAAATATTGTATATTATTTATTTTTTAAACATAATGTATGTTATATTTCTCACTCACCTTCAATGATACATACTCATTTCTTTAGGAAAAGTAAAACAAGGAAATTTTACCAAAGCACTCGAGTCACAGAGATAGGGCTAGGGACTGATGAGGGACGTTACCGCCAGCTGGTCTAGACTGGTGCAAAGGTGCATATTTCTTAATGTTTTCACGTTTTTCTATATTTTCTATATTTTTATCTATGGTTGAAGATTACCCTTTAAATGGTAAATCACATTTTCAATTTATTCACAGAGTGTTTCTTTATGATAAGTCACTCAGGGTCACAATACCCTAATCACATTTTCAATTTATTCACAGAGTGTTTCTTTGTGATAAGTCACTTAGGGTCACAATACCCTAATCACATTTTCAATTTATTCACAGAGTGTTTCTTTATGATAAGTCACTCAGGGTCACAATACCCTAATCACATTTTCAATTTATTCACAGAGTGTTTCTTTATGATAAGTCACTCAGGGTCACAATACCCTAATCACATTTTCAATTTATTCACAGAGTGTTTCTTTGTGATAAGTCACTCAGCGTCACAATACCCTAATCACATTTTCAATTTATTCACAGAGTGTTTCTTTATGATAAGTCACTCAGGGTCACAATACCCTAATCACATTTTCAATTTATTCACAGAGTGTTTCTTTGTGATAAGTCACTCAGGGTCACAATACCCTAATCACATTTTCAATTTATTCACAGAGTGTTTCTTTATAAGTCACTCAGGGTCACAATACCCTAATCACATTTTCAATTTATTCACAGAGTGTTTCTTTATAAGTCAATCAGGGTCACCATACCCTAATCACTTTTACTCACAGGGTGCTTCTTTATGATGACACTCCTACGCCAATCACTCATTCACAATTTATTTATACAGGGTGATTCTTTATAATAAGACACTCCTAACCCATTCACGCATTCATAATTCAATTTTTATACAGGGTGTTTCTTTAAATAAGACACGTCTGGGTCATTATACCCTTTTACGCTCTCTTACCTAAACATATATTTTTTTACATTGTTTTGACTTTGTCATCCTCCTGGAGGTGGCAATATGTTCAAATTACATTTGAACACTCACGCAACATGCGACATGCGACAATTATCTCATTTATCTCATACATAACACCACCTTTGCACATAAAAATAAAGTCACACCTCTAACAATCTCACTAGCGAAGCCACGCCTCACGAAATAAAAATCAATAAATGTGTAACCAATCAGAAATAAAATACATGACGTAATATATCACGTAAGTGCGCTCTAAGTTTTTGTAAAGAGACACAACGAGTTGGTCTGCAGACGCTCCATCAACAAGATGTAAAAATTGTTTTATGTCATAGAACCATGTTTGTTAAATTGTAATTTAAGTTAAGTGTTTATAGTTCTTCGGCAGTTTGCCATTATAATATGTAATCCATTTGTTTTGCCTGCATGGCACCATCGTTTTAAGCGTGAATAAATACGCATAGAGGAAGAGTGAGTTTTTATTTATGTTTCGTCCCACGAGTAAGTAATGGAGGCCCCAGCGAAGTTCTGGGTGGTCTTTAGAGGCGCACTAGTACGTTAGTGTCGGCCACCTCACCTAAATGGTAGTCTGTCTTTCTGAAAAGATCACAGGCCGCCAACATGTGCCATTAAGAAAAACGTGTACTAGAAATTTAAAATAAAAATTAATCATTTTAAGAAAAATTATAATATAGAACCGTTAAATGGAGAAAATTACTCCAATTAGAAATTAAAATTTTAAATGATTTTAGCAGAAAACGGTGTAATTGAAAATATAACTGTTATAACAATCAGATTTTGCAAGTTTTCATTATTTAACTTTATTAAACATTTTCGTTTATTTACATTTCTTCAACATAATAAATAATATTTATTCTTCGAGTGTAGAGTAATGTAAGGAATGTCTACGTGATACGACTTAAATATTTATAGCACTTCGTGCAGTGAATCTTCTGACGTATGAGGTCAACTGGCTTTTAGGGCAGTATGACTCCATAATAAATTACACATATTACACGTAGTCTAAGGTGCAATTCACACTGAACCAACGTAGGCGAGGACGTGGCAAGGACGGGTCACGGACGTGGCGAAGACGTGACGTATGCCAATTCACACAGAAAGGCCGGCATAGTAAACGAGAAATTTCGGTCAGTAGCTGGAACGGCGAGGTGAAGTTTAGAGAACCATAGTTTTGGCTACAAACGATTGGTTGGCATGGATTTTTCAAGTAGTGATGAAGATGATGAAGATATGTTGGCTTTGGTGTATTTGGCCAATGTGCAAAAAAAAGACGATTTTGGGTTCATCCATTGTGGCTAAAGAAGGGGAAAACGAGTGGAACATTCGATGTTATGCGTGAATTAAGCACATACCCAGAACGGTTCCAGAATTTTTGTAGGATGATAACTTTAAGGTAAGTAACTGAAACGAATTAATTTATTAATTTATTTAAAAATTTTAAAAACCGAAAAAATTATTCAAAAAATACTCAGGTTTTCAATTCGGAGGAAACGAACCCGATTTTGAGAGAAAACTCAAGTACTTTTGCATATTAAAAGTATGTTCCTGTTCAATTTGTTGCTGCAGGTTGAATTCTTCTCCACCACTGGTGTCGTCAACGATTGGCGGTGTTTCGCATTCAATAGCTTGAGGAATTCCTTGACAAAATATTAATTAAAGAATCCCTTGGCAAAGTATTCATTAAGGAATTCGTTGCTAACAAATTCATTGAAGAGCCTTTGGATTGAGCATTTATCGAAGCCCCTTCTTTTTGAACAGACTGGGCATACAGTATTTCTTCTGCTAGATTCAATATTCCTTTTTTGAAGCGGATTTTTTGCCTATTATCCATTGCCTTCATATTCAGCAAAACACTTTGCAAAAATGCCATATCAGGGTCAGGCTGGCTAGTAGCGTTACTCTGTTGTCTTCGTTCTACCACTTGTTTTTTTGCCTCAAAATACTTACAGGCGGAACTATTTACATCATCTAAAGTTGAAGATTTCCTTTTCTTCTTGGTACCACTGTCCCTCGTCCGTTGTTGTCATGTAATGTATATAGGGCATTTAAAAATAAATAATAACAAAAGTATGAAGTTTTATTTTCTAAATTATTACCCACATTCATTTGAAATATGTTTGAACACGAAAAACATATGTATATTATTATAACAAAATAAATTAAATATAATTATATTAAAAAAGGCTCGCCTTATTCTTCAGTACGAATCGACATTAGACGTCGAAAGATTAAGTGGCAACACGTGACATGGAATTCCATAAACAAGAATCTGTCAAGTCAAGTGTCAGTAGTTTCACAATATTAGAAGAGAAAATTGTTTGTTTAAAGCCGTTGGTTGGATTTAAAAGAGAAAAAGCTGTATTGCAGTGAACAGCAAAAACAGCAACTCACAGAAATGGTCACTAGAGACAAGCAATTGCTAAGTGGCAAGTTCTCTAATAATTGCACTATGAAAGACAGTGTGGAAAAGTGGAAAACTATAGCCTTAGTCTTAAATTTCATGCCGGGCGCAAATAAAGATTGAAAGCACTGGAAAAGAGTAAATTTAAAAAAAAGGAATTTTTTTTATAAACAATTTTCTTTGGTAGGTAGGATATGAAATGCTCTACAAAAAAAGCACATAACAATAAAAAAAACATATAAAAGGAACGAGAGGAGGGCCACCCGTTGTAGATATTTTGGCTTCAAATGAGGAACTGGTATTTGAGTCAATGAATCCTACAAGCGTGTTAGCAAATAAAGAAATCTTGAAAAGTACAACACTTTTTAAGTGGGAGGGAGAAATTGCAACTGTATCATCTATAGATAGTGAATTAATTGACGTTGCTAGAACTAAAAGCCCTAAGCCAGATCATACATACAATAAAATAAAATCCAAAAAGGAAGAGGTTTACACCTGCTAGGCGCCGTGCATTAACTACAAATGCTACACAAGTGCTATCGCAAAGCTCTGAGAAAAATTTGGAGATTAGAGAGAAGTATTAAATAAAAAAGGCACTATTAATAGAAAGGCAGACCTTGGCTATAGAAAAAAAATCAGCCTTTTATGGAGAGACAGACAGTGGCTCTACAGCAAATAGCCAACCATATCTGTAACCAATATTTTCATTTTTATTTTTTTGTTTTATCTTTTTTTTTATTATGTTATCCATATGTAACCGATAGTTTTTTCTTCTTTTTGTGTTTTCCTGATATGTAAATAATAGTATTGTTTTTATTTTATATTGCTGTTTTATTTTAGGTAATATATATTTTTTTAAATACGTGTTTTCAATTAGTAGGTAAACCTGCAGCCTAAAAGAAGGATTACAAAACTAAACATGATAAACTAACTGAAATAATCTTTGTTGTAAGTAATACACCAAGGCGGTGGTTCTCAACCTGTGGTATCCCTTAAGGGTACGCGAAAATCTGTAAGAGTACGTACCAAAAAGTATACATTAGATTGTATTTGACCAAGCTGAAACCAAACATTTATGAACTTTGTAAATAAAAACAAGCCCAACAGTAGATAAGCAAAGTTTGTACGGCGATATATATAGGGAATTCAATGTGTTAGAGAGAGAGGTCCCCTGCCATTGCCATAGCAATGCGATCGAGAGAGATAGATGTGTATATAATCTTACGTGACGTAGGTGGGTGACGTAGGTTAACGTTAAAGAGTAAAAATACGCGTAGTAGCAAAGCCAGAAGGGCCTAAATCCATATCTTCGTTGCTATTGGTCCGATTTACATGCAACAAACGGCGTTGTGGGGGAGAAGTGGCGTAGGTTAACGTTAAAGAGAAAAATCATGCACAATAGCAACGCCAGAAGGGCCTAAGTCAATATCTTCGTTGTTATTGGTCCGATTTACATGCAACAAACGGCGTTGTGAGGGAGAAGTGACGTAGGCTAACGTTAAAGAGAAAAATCATGCGCAGTATTGACGTGACGTAGTGACGTATGATGTAACGTAGTAATGTAATGTGATCGAAAGAAATAGATGTGGTATCACGAGATCACTTAGAACAAGTTTGCGTAATCATATTTAATTAACAAATATGTTTGAGTTGAAATATTTTTATTATAATATACGATCGTATATCAACAATAGGTATTTTAAGCAAGAATAAAAAAAAAATATTATATTTTATGTTTTATTAATTATATAAAGATATTACTTTTGCTAACATGGTTTTTAATTGTTTCAATAAGTTATCATCAGGACATGATATACCAAAAAGATTCCAGCTAAAAGGTCCTGCTTCTACAACTTTTCTTGTGTATTCACTGAATTTGTAATAGGAATTTCGATAGAAAAAATAGATATAACCATCTATATAACGAAACGCGGAACTTACATCTTCAGGAATTCCAGGAAATAGATCCTTTGTTGGTCCACGATTTAGTATATCCCCAGTTTCATTAAATTCAATGTAGGAATTGTTGTTGTACAATAGATATGTCTGTCCGCTGTTTGTTTGAAATAAAGCATTTATAGTTTTAATATTAATTGGAAACTTAAAACTATGTTGTATGTTTAAATTTGGAAAAGATACTGCATACAACATTCGATTATTGATTGTTATCAAGTCTCCAACAGAGTTTTGAAAGATATGTGAAATATTGTATGATTTAAGCTCATTAGGAAGGTAATCTGTAATAAGTTCTGGTGTGAGTGGAATATGCATATCATTTAAATCTAATTTCCACAAGAAGGTGTTATAAGCTATATACAATCGATAGTTAGGAAATGTAGGTGCAGTTGCAATAAACATGACATTAGGTATTTGAATATTACATAAATTTGTAGAGAATTCTTGAATTGATTTTTTAATACTAGGTATTATCATCGTAGTGGTATGAATAGATTTCAGAGGTTTTTTAGTTGTACTTGATTTTTTAGTTGATGCTGTTGTTGTTGTTGTTTTTGCTGTTGTTTTTGCTGTTGTTGTAGCTGTAGACATTTTATTTAGAACATATTCAGGAATTTTAGCATATTTTTCACGTCTTCCATATAAGGATTCAATTCCCATTATATCATCTTCATGAAGCTGTCTATTTTCTTCTTGGTACCAGGGAAACATAATGGCATTTTTATTACTGCTGTGAGATAATCCGAGAGAATGCCCAATTTCATGAACCATCACCATAAATAGATTAGTTTGATCATCAGGCACTTTATCATCAACTCCAATATACCATGGTTCTTCTCTATCAATATGAATCTCGATACAGCTATTATTCCTATTAGGAAAAAATGCATGTGCTAGCTCTCCTCCCTGACCATCAAAAAAAAATTTACATGAGCCGATTCCTTGACAGTTATAGCGAGTATCGTGAACCCTCTGTGTAATAAGAATCGTAATATCTGGAGGTGGATTAGGTATACGTACATTTTCGAAGGTTAGAGTAGTATTTTGTGCCCATAGTTCAAAAGCCTTTTTAGCTATATCAAGATATATTTTATAATTTTGCGCTTGAGGAAAGTACCACTTTAAATGTTTCTTATTCCATTTAGATTTTATAGTAAATGCATTTTCACTAAAAGAACATCTCGGTTTATTTATTAAGAGCATGGTTGGTTTGTTAAGTGTTCCATCAACTGGAAGATTATACATTTCTTGAAATTGTACTAAATCATTTTCAAAATCGGTAATTGCATTTTTACTTTCATTTATATATCCAAAATGCTGTAAATAATCTATAACTTCTTCTTTAGTTGTTATATTTTTAGCGGATATTAATGATTTGATAATAATAAGTAACAAAGTAAATACGACTGTATTCGTCAACATCTTCTTTAGTAATGAGCAATAAAAGGTCTTATTCTATTATACTTTTCATTAATTCTATTTTTCCATTTTCATGTAAATAAAAAACCCTCTGTATTTGCCAATGAATTAAAATGATGAAAGAAACTGATATTCTTGTGTAACCTTACCATCATATCAACATCCTGTTTTTATGACCTTTCTCAGATTAGATGCGACTTAATTATAAAAATGATTTGCATATATATTATCTTGTTATTTGACCTTTAAAGATTTCGTCTAACCCAAGCTAATTATCATAAAATATGTATACGGATGTTATCTTGTTTTGGACTTTCCAAATTACTAAAGAATAACAACTATGCTAAATTTATTCATATAAATTTTATCGTGTTATTTGTGACCTTCTAAGATTCCAGCTAACCTAAGCTAATTATAATAATAAAAAAAATGTATAAGGATGTTATCTTGTTTTGGTCTTTCCAACTTACTAAAGAATAACGACCATATGTATGATAATTTATTCATATCTTTTATATATAAACATAGCTAGAATGATACGAGTTCACTTTTGAATTTACTTCGTTAGAGCGAGTTTAGGTCATTGCAGTACAATAAAAGTTTTGAATTTACTTCGTTAGAGTGAGTTTAGGTGATTGCAGAACAAAAAAAGTAAGTTGTTATTATTATACATATTATTAAAATTGTTTTTTATACAAATTTAATTTACATATAATAAACTAAGTTAAACTAATCTTTGTCGTATGATTGAGAAAGGGAGCACTATAGAAGTGATTTTAACAACCAAATTAGTGTTCTCTAGCTTTGATACATAAACCTATGTTTCTACAACATTTCTTCTTAAACATATGGTAAAAATTAGGTTACTTCATTTTCCTATAGATAGAAAATTAAATTTTTGAACTCAGTACGAGATTATATGTTTCAAATCTACCTCCAACCAATTTTTTTTGTCTTTAAAGGTTTTTGTTGAATATATTTCACATTCTATTAATTAAATATCATTCTACCGTTTTATTTTTTATACCTTTATCATACAATAAGTTTTTCTTTTTTAATTGTAGATGGAATTTAAAAACATTAATTCCATAGGTCTTTCGGAAGACGACAAACCAATCAAGAAATTAAGTGATCTACCGATAAATGAGCCGCAACCGATAAAAAAGGCAAAAATTGTTAAGACCGTGTACGGGGAAAGCGTGCTGATAGAGCTGGAGGAGTCTAAGATCTTTTTACCTACAAGAGTAACAACGAGTTTTACCAAGAGTGCATTGAAAGAACTACAAACAGGGACCTACAAAGTGGTGTTTAAGGGGACAAAAGACATCGGAAAAGAGCATCCTCTAAACAAATTCGAAATTGTGAAAAATTAATAGAGAGAAAGTAAGTAGATATTTTTGTTAAATCACCCACTACACTAAAATAAAAAATGATCGTTTCCAAAATTATTAAAAATTCAGAAAACTTTTTATTAACAATTAAAAAACTAAGAAAAATTTTATTAGATACATGTACTGCTAGAGATGTACAAATTTGGTTAAAACGCTTAAATAAACAAATAAGAGTTTGTAGTAATGTAATTCGCAAACGAAATAATTTATCAATAGGTACTTTAAGAAAACTGCAAACTAATGTTGGACACTTTAAACATTTTAAAAAATTAATTTTAACTAGACATATAGGAATGGGGTTAAACTCAAAATTAAAATATAGAGTTAAATGGGAAAACATAGCACCATCTTTTTCACGTCAAATTAAAACAGGAGTAATAATTAATTTGCGTCATAAGGACTTAGAGACTTTTTTCACTGATTGCATAATTATGTTCAAAAATAAAATTAATAAAACCCTAAAAGATTTTTCTGTACTTAAAGTAAATACAACATTTTGTGGAGAATTTATAAAAAAGTCTGGAGATAATGAAATTTTGGATCTTAAATATTTTAATACGAAAAATGCTATTATAGACACAACAACTGATATACGATGTTGGTTTGCAGAAAATGTATATGATAAAATTTTAAATAAATTGTCTGAATTCCAAGAAAAGGATTCAGGATATGCATTAAACAAAGTTATTTCATTAGAAGTTAATATTAATAAATTTGAAATGGGTAATGGTTCATCTTTCATTAAACTACCTGAACAAATTTTAAAAAAACAGGCTTGCATTAATATTAGAAATTCTGACCACGCCTGTTTTTATTGGGCTATTGTTAGTGCTCTTTATCCTGCTCATACTAATTTAAATTCAACTTATTCATATCCACATTATAGTTCTGTACTACATGCAGAAAACTTGAACGCACCTATGACATTACATCAAATTTCCAAATTTGAAAAAAATAATGATATTTCTGTTAATGTTTATGCACTAGAATTAAATGTAATTAAAGAAAAATCATTTTACACGGTAGTACCTGCTCGGTTAACGAAACTTAAGCATTAAAAACATGTAAATTTATTGTTAATTCAGAATAAATATTTTCCCAAATTAAATGATTATGAGGCTCCACCTATGGATGATGATGCTGATAATACTGAAATAACATATCATTACTGCTGGATTAAAGACTTGTCACGATTAGTTAGTAAACAATTAAGTAAAAATACAAACAAAAAATTTATTTGTGATAGATGTTTAAATTATTATTCAAGTGAAAAAAGGTTAACCGAGCATGAAAAATTATGTTCTGATTTAAATAATTATAAAATGAGTGCTCCTAAATTAAGCCATGTTGAGTTTCGTAATTTTACATATAAACAAACAACTCCTTTTGTTATATATGCTGATTTTGAATGTCAATTAAAAAATTTTGTTGAATCTGGTAATAAAAGTAAAACAGTAAAATATCAAAAACATATACCATATAGTGCAGGTTTTTATGTGAAATGTTCGTACGATGATAATCTTTCTTTTTTCAAAAGCTACCGTGGTACTGATTGTATGGATTGGTTTGTAAATCAAATAATTCAAGTTTCAAAACTTGTTAATTCTAAAATAAAAACAATAATACCTATGAGTGAAAAATCGAGTACTAGTAATGCAAAAATATGTCATATCTGTGAAAAACCTTTTACTGAAAATGATATGATTGTCAGAGACCATGATCACTTTACAGGAAAATTTAGAGATTTTTCACACCAAACATGTAATCTTAACTATCGGAAATTGTTTGTTGTACCTGTAGTATTTCATAATTTAAGTGGGTATGATAGCCATTTTATGATTAAAAATTTATGTAAAACAGGCCGCTTAAATGTACTTCCCATCAATAAAGAAAAATATATTTCCTTTACTTTACATTCCAATGAAAATGATATAAAATTACGTTTCATAGATTCATTTAGGTTTTTAAGCGCTTCCCTAGATGAGTTGTCTAATATTTTAGATATATCAGAAAAGAAAATTTTAAAGAAAGAATTTTCTCATTTAGATGATGATAAATTTAAATTATTAACTAACAAGGGTGTATTTTGCTATGATTATATTAATAACTTAAAGAGATTAAAAGATACATCTTTACCATCAATAAAACATTTTTATAATAAATTAAATGATGAAATTATTAGTGATGAAAAGTATGCTCATGCACAAAAAGTTTGGTCAACTTTTGAAATTCAAAATTTAGGGGACTACTCAGACTTATATTTGAAAACAGATGTTCTACTATTAGCAGATATTTTCGAACAATTTAGAAAAAAATGTCATCATACGTATGGGCTTGATCCAGCATGGTTTTATACCATGCCTGGATATACCTGGGACTGTATGCTTAAATACACGAAATGTAAGTTACAACTTTTAAAAGATATGGACATGATAATGTTTATAGAAAAAGCGATTCGAGGTGGAATATCTGTTTGCAGCAACCGATTTTCGGAAGCAAACAATAAATATAAGGCTAATTATGATCCATCATTATCCTCCAAGTACTTAATGTACTTAGATGTTAATAACTTGTATGGGTGGGCTATGTGTGAACCCCTACCATACGATTGATTCAGATGGGTAGATGATATTACTAATTTTGATCCTATGGCTATACCAGATGATTCTGAAGATGGATACATTCTTCAAGTTGATTTGGAATATCCACGTAAATTACATGATTTACATAAAAATTTTCCATTTGCTGCTAAACATCGTAAACCACCAGGATCAAAGTTAAATAAACTGATGACTACACTTCATGATAAATCAGGATATACAATACATTATCGTAATTTAAAGCAAGCTTTAGCTAACGGTTTAGTGTTAAAAAAAATACATAAAATTTTAACATGCAAGCAATCAACTTGGTTAAAACCTTATATTGAGTTAAATACTCAACTAAGAGCTGCAGCTACAAATGATTTTGAAAAAAATCTTTATAAACTAGCTAATAATGCGGTGTTTGGTAAAACAATGGAAAATATTCGAAAACATCGCGTAGTTAAACTCGTTAATTCCTGGAATAGACGTTATGGAGCTAAAAACTTAATATCAAGTTTTAGATTCCATAGTCGAACAATTTTTGATGATGATTTAGTAGCTTTTGAATTAAAAAAAACCCAAATTATTTTTAATAAACCTCTGTATGTGGGAATGGCAATTTTAGATCTCTCAAAATTATGTATGTATGATTTTCATTACAAACATATGTTACCAAAATTAGGTGTTGAAAAATGTAAATTAATGTACATGGATACAGATAGTTTTATTTATGAATTACAATGTGATGATGCGTATAATGAAATTATAAAAGCTGATTTATCAAAATTTGATACTTCTGATTATTGTGTAGATAACCCCTATAATATTCCTCAAGTTAACAAAAAAGTTCTAGGATTAATGAAAGATGAAGCTAAAGGCAAAATTATTACACATTTCGTAGGTTTACGTTCAAAAATGTATACTTATAAGGTTCAAGGTGGTAAAATTGTTAAAAAATCAAAAGGAGTTAAGTACAATGTTGTAAAAAATAAAATTACTTTTAATGATTACGTGGATTGCTTAAACGATTTTAAAGAGCAAACGACATCTCAACGCTGCATTCGATCGTTTGCTCATAATGTATTTAGCATTGAACAAACAAAAATTTCTCTAAGTCCTAAAGACGATAAGCGGTATTTAATACCAGGTACTTTTAATACTCTTCCTTGGGGTCATTATAAAATTCCCTAAGTATTTTTATTTTTGTTACAGATGCAAACATTAAAAGAATTATCAATAAAAGCAATTTGCGAAAACAGTAATAGTGCTGCTGATTTTTTTGAATATTCACCATTACCTTGGACAATAACAAGGGAAATTATTCGAAAATTTCCTAATTATAAATGGTTATACATTAATAATTTAGCTCAAAACAATCAAAATCGTAAAAGAAAAAGTTTAAAATTGATTCATTTAAGTAAAATTATCTATCCTTCTGAAAGGAGGACCAGAACATTTTTGAAGAAGGTGAAGATTGTGTATGTTTGTGGGTTAATTATTACAAACTCAAA